TAGTTCTTTTGGACTTAACAAGGAAGAGGGTTTACCCTTGATGTTTCCTAATTCCAAAGGACAATGGGGAAGGGAGAGGTCTGACACATTTTAGACCTACATCATTTTAATGGCTACCTTAAAAGCTAAAGTTCCACATGGTCTCCCTGGCTTTCATCATCCCCTCCCTGGATTCAGGGACTGACATACTGCCTTCTACTTGAGACACTTATTTCACTGCCTCAGTTTTTTTCCCCAAAGCCACAGGAGGTTCCTCTGGTTCACTGTAAACCAGACTCTCTATCAGTGATTCTCCTGTTTGCTTCATTCCTCCTAGGCCAGAGCTTCTCTCCCAGAAATCTCTTTCCAGGCCATGAGGTCATTGATAGTGCAAGTCAAGGCCTATCCAGTCACAACAGCCCATTTCTACCTCACACTGTTCAGCTACATGACATCATGCACATACATGGTGCAGTATGCAAGGCTATGCCTCAGACCCTTTCCAGCATGGCTGGCCTCTGTGTACTCACAAAGCTGCTATCCACCTGCATTTGGTTCCTTCCTCAACTGGTAGAAGGATTCTCGGTCTGCTTAGGTATCCCCTTTCCTGGGTGCCAACCCTCATTATCGTTAGTTTCAGTTATGGCAGCTTTAAGATGGGAAGTTGACAGGACACCTCAGGATATAGGGTCGGTGCTCCCCAGAGGAGCTCTCCCTACATATAAATGTCAGGGAGCCAAGAGCAGTCAGCCTGTAGCACCCCCTCCCACCTTTCTCTCCCCCCCCCCTTCCCTATATCACACACCAGTGCTCACAGACTATATGGTAGCTGTGTTTTACCTCAACAGGCAGGAATGGGCTTGCTTTTTCCCCCCTGTGCCACTGTGCTGGCAGGTAAGATGGTGGAGCCCCAATCTTGCTGGCCTCTCCTTTGGTGATAGAGCTGCCCTCAGTGGACACCCTTAGGATAGCTCTCCCATGTGGGCTTGCTGCTCCCAGTGGTCACTCATGTCACACCCCTCTGAACAGCAACCCCTCCCTTTGCATGTTATGGAAAATTGTCCTTTCCTCGGGGCTTGCAGTTTTCTGGCACAACCAAATCCTGACCTTGCTTTCAGTTAGGAGAAGAGGAAGCTTCATGCCAACTTTGCTGGCCCTAGCTGTCACCGCTTAGGAAGAGTTCTTAAACGAATAGAAGCACAGATGCACTCTAATATGGCAAAGGAGCTAAACAGAAACAGATTTGTTATATTCAGGCTTTCAAGATGTTCAGATATCATTGTGCTGTAACTTTTTAAACAATAAGACAAGCTAATTGTATGTTCTTGTGCAAATACTGGGAATATAACCTCCAAAACTTTATATCGTGGAGTGTTAATGTACAGGCAGTCCCCGGGTTACGTACAAGATAGGGACTATAGGTTTGTTCTTAAGTTGAATTTGTATGTAAGTCGGAACTGGCTCCAGATTCAACCGCTGCTGCTGAAACTGACCAGGGGCTGACTACAGGAAGCTGGAGGCAGAATTGCTCTGCCCCCAGCTT